AGGAGTAGGGTGCTGGCCCCATATGCTGGAGGTGGTGGGTTCAAACCCAGCCCTGGCCAAAAAAAAAAAAAAAAACTGAAAAAAAAAAAAAAAAAAGAGTGAGGGGTATAGAGAATAGTTGGGGAGGGATTGCTGATTAGACAAGGGTGCAATGGTGTCACTGAGAAGGTGAGACTTGAACGGAGACATGGAGGAAAGGGAGTGAGCTTAGTCCATCAGTAGAAACAATGATAAAAACCCTAGTCCCAGCTACTCAGGAGGCTGAGGCAAGAGAATCACCTAAGCGCAGGAATTGGAGGTTGCTGTGAGCTGTGTGACACCAAGGGTGATAAAGTGAGACTCTGTCTCTACAAAAAAAAAACCCAACCCACGCAGGGTGGATGGCTGGGTCGTTTAGAGAGGTGAGGAGCCTAGGTGTGGCTGGTAAGGACAGGAGTGAGGGTGAGCATAGGGTGCCCTAGTGGGCTCAGTGGTAACAGGATCCCTCTGGGATACCAGGGCAAACTGAGGAAGAGAGGCCATAATGGACACAGGGGAAGGGAGTCCTATGAGATGCTTTTGGCCAGCCCCTGGCTTGCTGGTATTCCCCATATTGCTGTTATGGGGTCCCCCAACCTCGTCCTGACCATTGCTGTGTGTAAGTCCCCCATAACCACTATTCAACTAGTGATGTCACCTTTTCCTGAACATTGTCTATAAACACTTTCTTTTTTTTTCCTTTTTGGAGACAGAGTCTTACTATGCTGCCCTGGGTAAAGTACCGTGGCATCATAACTCACAGCAACCTCAAACTCTTTAAGCGATTCTCTTGCCTCAGCCTCCCAAGTAGCTGCCTGCCATAACACCAGGCTGTTTTTGGTTGTAGTTATTATATGGCAGGCCGGGGCCAGATTTGAACCCACCAGCTCCCGTATAGGTGGCTGGCGCACTAGGTGCTGAGCTACAAGCGTTGAGCTTAAACTTTCTTTTTTTAAACTAGTCTTAGGTATGTCTTTCATGCCCATGGAATTACAATAATATATCTATAATTATAATTATTTTCATTCACTTAACGTGCATGGCCACATGCATATGTGCATGTGTGTGTTTGAGACAGAGTCTCACTCCATTTCCTCAGGCCAGAGTGCCTTTGTGTCATAACTCACAGCAACCTCAGCATCCTCTTGCTTCAGTCTCCCAACACTATACCCAGCTAGTTTCTCTTTTTTTTTTTTTAAGACGGAGTCTCAAGCTATCCCCCTGGGTAGAGTGCCATGGCATCACTGCTCACAGCAACCTCCAACTCCTGGGCTCAAGCGGGTCTCCCGCCTCAGCCTCCCAAGTAGCTGGGACCACAGGCGCCTGCCACAACGCCCGGCCATTTTTTGGTTACAGCCATCATTGTTGTTTGGCGGGCCCGGGCTGGGGATTCGAACCCGCCACCTTAGGTGTACGTGGCTGGCGCCTTAGCCACTTGAGCCACAGGCGCTGAGCCAGTTTCTCTTTTTTGTTTGTTTGTTTTTTGCAGTTTTTGGCTGGGGCTGGGTTTGAACCCACCACCTCTGGCATATGGGGCCAGCGCCCTACTCCTTTGAGCCACAGGTGCTGCCCTAGTTTCTCTATTTTTAGTAGAGATAGAGTCTCCCTTTTGCTCAGGCTGGTCTCAAACTTCTGAGCTCAGGCGATCCACCTGCCTCTGCCTCTGCCTCCCAGAGTGCTAGGATTACAGGCATGAGCCACCATACCTGGCTACATGTGTGTGTTTTAATTGCACAAAAACCCTTTCAAATGTTTGTCTCCTTAGGCCAGGCATGGTGTCTCATGCCTGTAATACTGGCAGTCTGGGAGGCTGAGGCAGGTGGCTTGCTTGAGCTCAGGCGTTCAAGACCAGCCTGAACAGTCTCTAAAATATAGCCAATCATGGTGGTGGGTGCCTGTAATCCCAGCTATTTGGGAGGTTGAGGCAAGAAGATCACTCGAACCTAAGAGTTGGAGGTTGCTGTGAGCTATGATGCCAGGGAAGTCTACCCTGGGCAACAGAGTGAGACTCTCAAAAAAAAAAAAAGTTTTGTCTCCTTATAGTGATCTATCACCTGTGTTCAGCTTTCCATGTTAGAGCTGTCCAACTGTAGGTGATTGAGTCATATAGCCACTCTGAACCTCAGTTTCAGCTTTCATCAATTAGAGATAGTAACAGACCTTTCTCAAAGAGTTTGTAAGGATTGAGTTGACATAAGACTAGGGCCCAAAAAATAGCAGTGGATGCTGCTATTGTTTTTCGACTGTTCCTGCTTGTGCTTTCTTATCCCTCTTCCTCCATGTGTTTCCTTCAAGACCTTCATTTGCTAGCACACAGATAAGGAGCACCTGCCATGTGCCAGGCCCTGCTCTATGCCTTGAGGACTCATCTATGGGGAAGGGAAGGGTTTTGTGCATCCTACCTTCACTGTACTATGGCAAGTCTGAAGGGGGCTCAGGGAGGGGGACAGTTGAGCATAGCCCCTTGACTTCTGGTGCCACTGTAATTCCCTGTCTGTCCCCCTACAGGGCCTGAGCATTCCTCTGACTCAGAATACACTCTCTCAGAGCCGGACTCTGAAGAGGAAGAAGATGAGGAGGAAGAGGAAGAGGAGACAACCGATGACCCTGAATATGACCCTGGCTACAAGGTGAAGCAGCGCCTGGGTGGGGGCCGGGGTGGCCCATCCCGCCGGGCCTCCCATGCAGCCCAGCCCCCAGGCCCTTCGGCCCAGCCCTGCCAGCTCTGTGGCCGCTCACCCCTTGGGGAGGCCCCACCGGGAGCCCCACCCTGCCGCCTCTGCTGCCCTGCTACAGCCCCCCAGGAACCACCAGCCCCTGAAGGCAGGGCCCTCGGGGAGGAAGAGGAAGAGCCAGAGCCAGAGCCAGAGCCAGAACCACCTCAGGCTGGGGCAGGCCGGCCAGCTGGGCGGGGGGAGGAGGAGGAGGATGAGGAGGAGGAGGGCACCTACCACTGCACAGAATGTGAGGATTCCTTCGACAACCTGGGGGAGCTGCATGGCCACTTCATGCTGCATGCCCGGGGTGAGGTGTAGGCAGAGCCCCTCACCTGGGGAGCTTGGCAGAAGGGTGGGGTGGGAGGAGGGGGTTGAAGGAATTGGGTGCTCACAGTGGACATAGAGTATAGGGTACTGAAATTTGTGTTGTCCTAGGAGTAGATGTGTGAAGGCCAGAATAAAAGCCAAATTCTGTGTGTGTCAGTTCAGTGTCTGTTTGGTGTTTGTGTGTGAATTTGAGTGTGATGAGCCTGGCATTTATCCCCCCATCCCTCTGGGCTCCTTCTTGGGGATCCTTAGGTTATTGTTGCCAAAATTACTAACACTTACCATGTGCTTATGTTCGGTGTGATGTCCATGTGTCTACTCATAGACCCTGTAAGGTAAAGGCTCAGGCACAATAGAATTTTGTTTCTTTCTTTCTTTTTTTTTTTTATTTTTGAGACAGAGCCTCAAGCTGTCCCCCTGGGTAGAGTGCCCGGGCATCACAGCTCACAGCAACCTCCAACTCCTGGGCTCAAGTGAGTCTCCTGCCTCAGCCTCCCAAGTAGCTGGGACCATAGGCACCCGCCACAACGCTCAGCTATTTTTTGGTTGCAGCTGTCATTGTTGTTTGGTGGGCCGGGCTGGATTCAAACCTGCCACCTTACGTGTATGTGGCTGGCACCTTAGCCACTTGAGCCACAGGTGCCAAGCCAGAATTTTGTTTCTTAAGCCTATCATCTCCCCGCACCCAGACTGGGTGGCTATGACAGAAGAAGACAGGGAGCCTGGCAGAGTGCATGTGCCTTCTTGTGAGTCCTGGCTTAATAGGGGCATACACTGCCTCTATTGATGTGCCTTTGCTGACAAATAAGTTACATGGCCACAGCTAACTGCAGAGGCACCTGGGAGAGCTGGTCTAGTTAAGCACCTAGAAAGCAGAAAAACAGTTTGTGGAGCACAACTAGTCATCTCTGCTGCTTGGCCTAAGAACAAATCTTCCACAAAGAGGACTTAATTATAATCATAGATGTATTTTCCGAGAGCTTCTCAGGTGTCTGGTGCCAGTCCAAGGGCTTTATGGATATTGGCTCATAGAAGTTGTGCATCTAGGAACTTATAAAAATAGAACCTTAATGATAATTACAGCTGCCATTTTCCCAGCACTTATACAGTACTGCAGTTTATTTGCATGAGATCATCAGCTTCTAAGAATAACCCTGTGAGGTAGGGACTGTGATCCATTAACTCATTTAACAACTATTTTTTTGAGTCCCTGCTGTGTGCCAGGGCAATGAATTAAATAAAATCCTTGTCCACATGGAGCATATGTGGGGGTGGGGAGAGGCTGTGGGTGGAGACACACGATTAATAAGATACAGCACATGCTGGATGTTGGTAAGTGCAGTAGAGAACAATAAAACAGAGGGGAGAACAGTTCTGGATGGGGGTTGTGGGTTTTTTTTTTTTTTTTGGCCAGGGACTGGGTTTGAACCCGCCACCTCCAGTATATGGGGCCGTTGCCTTACCCCTTTGAGCCACAGGTGCCGCCCCCCTCCTTTTTTTTTAATTTTTGAGACAATCTTACTTTGTCACTCTGGGTAGAAGTGCTGTGATGTCATTGTAGCTCACAGTAACCTCATACTCTTGGGCTCAAACAATCCTCCTATCTCAGCCTCCTGACGAGATGGAACTACAAGCACAAGCTACAACACCTGGCTAATTTTTCTATCTTTAGTAGAGGTCTTGCTGTTGCTCAGACTGGTCTCAAATTCTTGCGCTCAAGCAATTTACCTGCCTCAGCCTCCCAAAGTGCTAGGATTACAGGTCCCTGTCACTTTCCCAGGGAGGACTACACTATTTAAAATTGCAACCCCCAGCAGGTATAGTGGCTCATACCTGTAATCCTAGCACTTTGGGAGGCTGAGGCAGGTAAATTGCTTGAGCGCAAGAATTTGAGACCAGTCTGAGCAACAGCAAGACCTCTACTAAAGATAGAAAAATTAGCCAGGTGTTGTAGCTTGTGCTTGTAGTTCCATCTCGTCAGGAGGCTGAGATAGGAGGATTGTTTGAGCCCAAGAGTATGAGGTTACTGTGAGCTACAATGACATCACAGCACTTCTACCCAGAGTGACAAAGTAAGATTGTCTCAAAAATTAAAAAAAAAGGAGGGGGGCGGCACCTGTGGCTCAAAGGGGTAAGGCAACGGCCCCATATACTGGAGGTGGCGGGTTCAAACCCAGTCCCTGGCCAAAAAGAACTTGGGCTTTTGCTCTGAGATGGGAAGTTCTAATTCACAAAAGCTTGGCAATGAAGCTACTATGAAAATAGAAGCCTAATTAAAAGTGATAGCTGCCATTGTCTGAGCATTTACCACATGCCAAGCCTTGTTCTAAGGTGCTTTACATATGTTAACTCACAGAAGCTTGGCAGGATAGAACAGGATAGAACCTGTTAACTATAGTGGGCCTTGTTGAGTCAGTACTCAGAGCAGACCAGGCCCTAGGCTAAGTGGTTTACTTGGATAGTGAGTTGCCCTGAATCCTTATGAGGTAGAGATAGCTATTTGTTTACATAATCATTCAACAATGATTTATTGAGCACTACATGATGGCAGGCCCTGTTCTGGGAGGTGGGAATATAGCAGTGAACACAATGGACAAAAATCCTGTGCCTTTGTGGAGGTTATTCATAATGGACAAGACACTAGTCCGATATTTAAGTTAAAATACACAAAGTGTATAGAATATTGGAAGGTAATAAGTGCCATGGAGAAAAATGAAAGGGGCTGTGGGGCGTGTGTGTGTGAAGTTTGCAATTTTAAATTGGGTAGTCAGAGAAGGCTTTACTTGAGAAGGTGACATCAAAGCAGAGACCTACAGGAGGGAAGAAGTGTGGCTGACTAGGGACAGTAAGGACAAAGGCATAAGGTGGAGCTATTTTCATGACCATTTTACAGCTGTTACAAGAGGAGAACAGAGAGGCTGAATTACTTGTCAGAGGTCACACAGCCAGTAAACAGAGCCCTGGTTTGAACCTGGATAACCAGATTTAACCAACTTAGCCACTAAGTTATTCACCAGAAATGGCAGTCTGCTCACAGCCACCATAGGAATTGTAGGAGTGTATTTGGTCTCCACAGAGCTATTGAGGTTTTTAAAATCATGGTGGTTGCAAACATTGAAAAATGGGTAATTTCACATAATAGTGGAGATTTCTGGCTACTTTTGAGAAATTGTGAGATCTGGATTGCTAAACCCTCAATCCTGTGGGCCAGTAGTTTGCTGGAGCTGAGTAAGGGTTACCTCCTGTAGGTGAGCCATTCACTCTTTTTTTTTTTTTTTTTTTTTTTTGAGACAGAGCCTCAAGCTGTCCCCCTGGGTAGAGTGCCGTGGCATTACAGCTCACAGCAACCTCCA